GGTGCGCGCAGGAGTGCGAATTGTGCAGAAGGTCAACCTAAAGCTCGGAAAGGTCCTATAGGAATCCATTTTGGGTTTCCTCATGTCGGTTTCATCCTTCTAAGTGTTAGAAGTCGATACCGCACACGCGAAACTCTAAAAGAGGACGGAAATAGGTCGAACTAAAACGAGGCGGGCACCACTTCTAAGGTTCTAAGATAGTCGCAGGAAGACCCCTAAGGCTAGATCCTAATTCCTACGAGAAATACTAGACCTCACGAAAATTGAGGTCAACAGTATGTTAATGGATAAGAATTGAGTGTATGTATGTAAATTTTCCTTAGTTTTAATAAGTTTTGATGGGGAATGAATTGCAAATCTTTACACAATATAGTGATATTAAGGTTGGCCTTGTGTAGAAATGTATAATAAATTTATGCAGATCTTCAGCTTACTAGGATTAGTTTGTTAAAAGCATCATCTTTTTAGGAGCTAAATACTTTTCACATTTCATTTAATCCAACTGATCAAGATAAATGCTCTTTGAATATTACATCTATTGCATGTCTTTTGGCTGCATTTTCTCTTGATATTGGAATCTATTGCATAATAGGTAGATGATCTAAATCGTAGAAAATAGTTTTGGAAATGTTTGTTAGAGAAAGTGTTTATGGTGGCATGCTATACATAATATTCATGATTTTTCAGCATCTATCAAACTGAAACATGTGCTCTGCTTGGTATTTTTTACCCTTTTTTAATCAGATGACTTTCTGTACAACTATCAGGTCTGATATCTCAAGAAAAAAATTTCTTTTGCATTTCTGGGAATGCTGGCACCAATTAAAGGTCAACCTTGAAATTCTCGTTCTTGCAGATGATTTATTTGTTTTTCAATCCAATTAGTTCTGATATATTAGTGATAATCCAGCCATTAGTTTTTTGCTATATGTCAATAAAAGTGCTTGGTACCAGGAAGCATTTGAGACATAATAAATCATTATTAACTTGTACGTGAAAATAATTTCAAATGTTATAGACAATTGCTTATTCATGAGAAAGTCTGGATGTGTTTACTTTTGCTAAAGTGCAAGTTTTTTAATTTTACAGTATACTAATTTATATAATCACGCATCAGTGCTACTAGGTATCATGTACAAGTTATCATTCTGCTTTACTATTTCTTCTCATTTCATTTCAGAATGGAGTAACATACCAAAATATTCCCTTAACTGTTTACATGGGGGCATTTTAGTTCCAGAGTTTATAGAAGTGTCAAATTTGTCCTGTACTTTTTAAATTAGCCTGAAATAATCCTCCGCGTGAACAATTTATGCCTATATTAAAAGTGTTTGGAGACTAAATTGACACTTTTATAGTCTTTGGGAGTAAAATGACTATTTGCAAAGAGTAAGGGGACTATGTTGACACTTTTCTCTTTCCAAAGCGATTTTTCATCACATGGCAAATGATACAGACATACAAAGTCAATATTATAAAGTTGCTAAGCTTTTTCTGGAGGGGCTAGTCTATCTTGAAAATTTTCTGAATTGATTAATAATTCTATTAGATTTATAACGACAATCAAATCCCTAGCTGTTATTAGTTATTATTTTTTTCCTTTTAGATTTAATTTCCTCATTATGTATTTTCATTTTGTTTTATTCTGTTTTATTCATTTTCTATTTATTTTATTCTATTTTATGTCTTTCCTTTGTTGTGTCTATTGTAATTGAGTTAAATACCCTCCTTCAATAAAATTAAGCTGGTATATTTCAATCTAAACATGATATCAGAGCCTAAACTTTGATCCAACAGTCCCCGACATTCTCTATCGGTTTTAGCAACCACCACCTCCTCCTAGCCGACAGCCTCCCCTACTAGGTCCGCCGAACATAAGATTCAGGGGTCTGCTGCTCTTCCTTCAGGGTCCAACGAACAGAAGACCTACCCCCAAATTCCTGTCTGGAAGATTCTGCCGCTTTTCCTTCAGGGTCTAGCAAACAGATCTACCGTCGGATTCCTTCTATTGTAGTTTGCCAGAAGACTTTTGTTGCCTCCAGATTCCTCTTGTTTCAACCAATCGTGCCACTGTTTTGCAGAAAGTATCCTCGGAGTTGTCCTTCTATCTGCAATTTTTGCAAGTTATGCATGTTTGTCGTGATTCTTCCAAAATTCATCGATGACTCAAATTCACAATAACATATCCTTTGGCTCAGTCGGAATTATGATTGATTTTTTCAATGAATCTTCATCAGAAGGCATTTTTGACTCCACTGGAGGATCGACTCAAACCTCCGCTCCCTTGCAGATCGGAAGCCAACATAAATTCTTGATCACAACTCATGAGTTGAACTGTCGTAACTTCCTATAATTGTCCCAAAGTGGTGTCTTTGAAGTTTGATCACCTCACAGGTATGATTCGTGAGCCTCCAAAGATTGACCCGACATATGGAGCTTGGGAAGTGGAGAACTCCATGATCATGTCATGAAGACTTCAATTGGTTGCTCGTACATGTTCTTCCCTTCAGCTAGTGTTCCTTGGACGGCTGTCCGCATTATCTACTCAGATGTTAGAAGTTCTGACCAACTCTATGAGTCTTCTCAGAAAGTTCTGGAAGGCAAAACAGGGGGTCCAAGACAGTGACCTAATACTATAATGACATAGTTGCATTATGGATGGAATGTGACATGTACTACGACTACAATTGGGATTCTCCGACCGACTTGTCCCTCTTCCAGAAGATCGTATGTTTCAATTCCTTATTGGTCTTAACAAAGAACTTGACGAAGTCTGGGGTCGTATTCTTGATCGGGTTCCTCTTTCTTTCGTTCGAGTTGCTTTTATCGAGATTCGTTGGGAAAAAAAGTAGGAGACTTGTCATGCTCGACATTTTACACCTTCAACTGAGCCATCCGTTTTGATCTCAATGAATGCTTATCCCCTGTCCATGCCACAATGAACCAGTCACTCAACTTGTGATTACTGTCACAAGCCAACCACACTCGAGAAAAGTGTTGGAAACTTCACGGTAAGTCGACATGCAAATTTTCAACCAAATCCTCTGCTGCTAAGGGACTCACGGCGACAGCCGAACAAGGCACGACTCAACCAACTCCTACCAGGAATATCCCATAATCCTTTGAATCATTGAAAAGTTGGATGGAGCAATTGATAAAGCTTCTTGGAGCCAATAAGTTTCTTCGGGTCCGTCGACCTCCCACATTTGACAAGATACTCTTCTGATAGCTCTCATAGTTTATTCCTCTAGTCCGTGGATTATTGATTCCGGAGCCGTAGATCACATGATTGGATGTTCACAAGCTTTCTCAACTTATTATCCTTGCTCTGAAAAAGATACAGTCAGAATTGCTAATGGTTTTTATAGTTTTATTGCTAGTAAATTGTCGATTGTACTAACAATCGTCTAACGCTGGAGTCTTTTTTACATGTTTCCCAGTTATAATGTAACTTGTTTTCTGTCAGCAAGTTGACGAAGCGTGTTTTTCAGAATCGTCGTTCGGGGAGAATGATTAAAACTGCTAAGAGGATAAATGAATTCTACTACTTCCAAGAGAAGAGAACAAAAAATACTGACACACCTCGTAGGAGTTGTAGTTTATCTCTAGTTATTGAACATCTCATTATGTTATTACAATATCGTTAAAGTCATACTAGTTTTCAATATTTAAAAAGATTATAATCTTTGATGTTTTCTAATAATTTTTTTTTAATTTTAATTGTGAGACATGTCAGTTAGTCAAATATCATCGGGTCCATTACCCATCCCATACTTACACTCCTGCTTCTTTCTCACTCATTCACGGTGACCTATGGGAGCTTTCTTGCACTCTATGCTACACCAATAAAAAGTGGTTCCTAATTTTGATGACCACACTCAGATGATGTAGTCTACATTTTAAAAGATAAATCTGAAGTGGCAGTCACCTTCCCAAACTTCTACGCATTCGTTTTAACTCAATTTAAAACTCATATTTAAGTCCTTTGGGTCGACAATAGTTATGAATTTTTCTACTCTTATTTAAGTGAATCTTTGGTGAGTAAGGACATTCTTCACTATAGCTCTTGTACAAACACTACTCAACAAAATGGGATACCTGAGAGAAAAATCTTCATCTCCTAGATGTTGCTCGCTCCATTATGTTTCAATTCAATGCCCAAAAACGTTTTTGGAATGATGTCATTCTCACTGCCACCTATCTCATAAATAGAGTCCGCTCTAAAATTCACAAGTTTCAAACTCTTTTAGCCGTTTTGATGTCGTGCTTCCTGCCAATCGGACCTCTCCACATTAGACCTTAAGATTTTTGGGTGCAATGCCTTTATTCGGAACACTGCTCCCAATCGGAGCAAACTTGATCCCATATCTATAAAATGTATCTTCCTTGAATACTCCGCCACTCAAAAAGGGTATCGGTGCCTTGATTATCAAACTTTATGTGAGTATTGATGTCTCATTCTTTGAAAGTGTTCTCTATTTTCCTAGCTCGACCCCAAATGAGGGGAAGCTTGGTTTCTCAGACACTATCCCTTATTGGGTGCCCCCCCCCCCCCCCCTTGTTCCCACTACTGAAGAGTCTCATGTCCTGGTGAGTGCACCATCCGGTGAGTTCCCTGATCCGGTGAATGCACCATCTCCTCCTCCCACTATCCGTGTCTATACTCGGCACACCTGTTGCAATGCTCATACTCTGAAACACACTACCTTCTTACAGGACCTTGACTCTACTCCGGGCTACATCCTCCAAGTGAGGTGTGTTCTCCATGTAAGGTATGCAATTAGACATGCTCCCTTTATTTTATGACAAAATGTCTTTTTTGCAGCTTATCACCGATTTACAGAGAATTTGCCACTACCCTGACAAACCATCAGATCTCAGGTAATATTGAGGTTATTCTTGCTGATCCAGCCTAGAAAATAGCAGTAATGGAGGAGATGAATGCTCTTTAGCGAAACTATACATGGGATGTTGTTGATCTTTGACAGGGTAAGAAAACTGTGGGGTGTCAATAGATTTTCAGCAACAAGTTCAACTTTGATAAATCCTTTGAATGCAACAACACATGATTAGTTGTCGAAAGGTACTCACAGACCTACAAAGTTTACTATGTGGAGACATTTGCTCCAATGACTAAGTTAAACACTATTCGGGTCTTGTTGTCCATTGCAGTGAATCTGGATTGGTCTTTATTTCAGCTAGATGTCAAGAATGTATTCTTGAATTGAGAGCTTACATAAGCGATATATATGTCTCTTCCTCCTGGCTTTGACTCTACTGTCTCCAAAGGGCAAGTGTGCAAAATGCGAAAATCTCTATATGGGCTAATGCAGATCTCAAGAATGTATTCTTGAATTGAGAGCTTACATAAGCGATATATATGTCTCTTCCTCCTGGCTTTGACTCTACTGTCTCCAAAGGGCAAGTGTGCAAAATGCGAAAATCTCTATATGGGCTAATGCAGTCCTCAAGGGCCTGGTTTGGCAAGTTCAAAAAGGTGGTTATGGGTCATGGTTTTACTCAGGCTCAATCGAATCTCACTCTCTTCTCCCGACATTCCTCCAATGACCAGCTAGCTATCCTTATTGTCTATGTTGACGATATTGTTCTTATAGGTAATGATTTCCCAGCACTGTAGTCCTTGAAAGACATTCTTGCTAAATCTTTTGAAATCAAATATTTGAAATCACTCTGGTACTTCTTAGGCATGGATGTGACTTGATTATCTCTGGGTATTTTGTGTATCTCAGTACAAATACGTGATTGACTTTTTGAAAAATAACAACCTTCTTCTATGTAAACCGACGGCTGTCCTTATGGATCCCAATGAAAAATTTTCTGTTATTCTCAATATTGTGCCTGTCAACAAGGTTCACTACCAATACCTTCTGGGAAAAGTCATCTACTTCGCCCATACTCGCCCTAACATATGCCACATAATTGGTATAGTGAGTCAATTCATGTACGACCCCTATGAGCATCATCTCCAATTTATCCACCAGATTCTCTACTATTTAATAGGTATAATAGGCTCAGGTTTGCTTTTCTCTCGTCACACGTCTTGGTCTATTGTTGTTTATATAAATGTTGATTAGGTCGGGTCTGTTCATGATTGACGTTTCACCTCGAGGTATTGCTAATTTGTATGAGAAAATTTGGTCACATGGAAAAAACAAAAAACATTTTGTGGTTGCTCGGAGTAGTTGTTCCGTGAACTTCATATGCCAACCTCCACGTCGCTCCAATTATTCTATGATAATAAGATCGTGATCAACATTGTTCACAGTCCAGTTCAGCATGATCGTACCAAACATGTGGAGATTTAAAGACACTTCATTATGGAAAAGATTGAGTATGGGAAAATTTGTGTGCCTTTTATACTCTCTAGTGGTCAACTAGCAGATATCTTCACGAAGAATCTTCTTTGACCTTAATTCGATGACTTCAAATCCAAGTTAAACATGATTAATAGTCGTTATTACTTATTATTTCTTTCCGAGTAGCTTTAATTCCCTCATTATGTATTTTCTTTTTGTTTTATTCTTTTCCTATTTATTTTATTCTATTTTATTTCTATTCTTTGTTGTGCCTATTGTAACTGGGTTAAGTACCGCTCTCTTCTATCAATAAAATTAAGCTGGTCTATTCCAATCTCAACAAATTTTTATACTTATTCCACACTGTAACTATCACCATTTAATATTTATATACAAACAAAAAAACTTTTACTGTTTATTAATTTGTTCAGCCAAGTGTTAACTGTTTTCTCATATTTCTTTTAGAATTCTATTCCTTAACATTCTTTCATCATAATGTGAGAAATACTTTTCGTAGTTTTCGTGGATTATGAGATTTTGGCAGCGCTTTTGTAATATTAAAGTGGCAAGTATACGTGGCATTTTTTGTTTTTTACATTACATTCTTATTGAAATAAAGTTTTGTCATTGAGATTAGCTTTCAATTCACTGAACCTTGGACAATTGCTAGTTTTGTAAATAGTAATGTTTCAAGTGCTATGTATGTAATTGCCCCAAAATTAGAAAAAGAAAATTGTGTTAGGAAATAGGTGACAGGGTTGGATAAGAACTGGTTGTAAAGGACGCTTATTCCCATGTTTCAATGGTGTGATAGTGGGATTTTTTCTTCATAAGCAAAATGTTAAATCCCAAAAGAAAGATTTTTGACAGCTAGACTTGCTTGTAAAGGAAGCAGGTTTAAAGAATGGCCACCTATTTTGCATTGAGTAACTTTGCAATTAAAATTGTTATAACCCAAATGCAAAATATTTTCATCGTGAGGGTGGCTTGCGGTGTACATGTGTTCCGGATGCAAAGCTCATGGTATTCTTGGGATCTGACAACAACTAGACTGCAAATTTTTTTGTCGGTGAATCACCCCTTCGAATTTTGGCTTCCAATTTTTGTCCTATCATTCAAATATCTTAGCAGCCAGAGAAATGTCCTACCTTCATTTGTTTGTTCATTTAAATAAATTTGTGTGCTCCAGTTTTTCTCTATTATATTCTGTTGGAACTTATGCTGATTATAACTTACCAGCATAAAACAACTATTTATTATTGATAAAAATGTTAAAATATCCTTTCACTTTTTGTAGCTTGTCATTTTAGTCCCATAGTTCATAAAACGTGTCAATTTAGTCCTTAGACTTTTAATATGAGTTGAAATAGTCCATAGTGAGAACTATTTTTACTTCTATTAAAATAATGTGAGGACTAATTTTGTATATTCATAAACTCCAGAACTAAAATGGCCCATGTAAATAAGCGGCGCGGTTCTGGATTATTACAATGCTTCATAAATTCTAGAACTAAACCCTAAAAACCCTAATTGAATTTTTACCGTGTTTCATGCCAACTCTAAGGATTAGTTAGCATCTATCAAGCGCTCTAGTCCCATTGTTTTCAATCCTATGGTAGTTTAAAAAGGCTTCTTCCTTATCCTTTTCAGTATTGTACTCATATACAAGTGATCTCAATTTTTCAGGACCTAAGAATTTCTGAATAGTAGATTCTGGAACAAAAATCAGTACATTCAAATTCTATTTTCCTTCCTGCAGGCAAAATCTGTAAACGATCTGCCAATGCCTACGCTGTTTCAGTTCCTTACTCTCTTGGCACTTAAGATATTCTTATCTGAAAAGGTGGTATATTTAAGCCTTTCTATATTCATTTTCCTAAATTATAGAGAATCAATTGTATGCAGCTATGTTATATCTGTTATTTTTGAACTTGGTGCATTGCTACGCCGTATGAAGCACATTTATTTCTGCCAATTTTTCATATAAGTTTTGTTTACCTTTTGCTGGTAACTACTTTCAACAAAACAAATGTAGCTTTTTAACTTGGAATATGTAGAGGTCTTGCTAATTATTTAGTTATTATGAATATGTAGAGGTCTTACTAATTATTTAGTTATTATGGGCGTTTAACCGGTAAAGAACTGTTCGTTACAGGTTGATGTTGCAATTCTTGAAGTTGGGCTAGGTGGGAGGTTTGACTCAACTAATGTGGTAATTTTTTTGTAGTGATTTCTTTTAGGTTTATATTGCATTTTTTGTGTTACTTTTGGAATACTTTCCTTTTTATTTATTTATTTATTTTACTTGTGATTGTGGGCTGCAAAGGCCAGTGGTAAATGAGATTGGTTCAAACTGTCTCTTATCTTTAAACGAAATTGAACAATTAAAGAGTGAAGTGGAACCAGGTCTGCTAAACTTTCGACGACCTTTGTTTACTAGATGTTAAGAGCAGATTTTACCCGTCAATGATTTAATGTTCGGGGCCTTTTAGCTGAATTTATCAGCATCCAGTGGCGTAGAAACAATTTGTTGATAATTTTTTTATATGTTCCAAGAAAGTTATTTTCTTGAAAATCCAGCTCATTGATACCTTTTTTTCTTCAAATCATGTTGCAATTGGATGATTTAAAAAAAATAAAAAAACAGGTTAAAGAGCCTGTTGTTACTGGCATTACCTCACTGGGGATGGATCATATGGAGATCTTAGGTAATCCAACCACTCAACGTTCATTGAATTTTTATGAAAAAAGTTTCTTGTTTTTTTAGGAATTTCTATCTTCTCATTTTGATATTTGAAAATTTTGGTCTCATAACTTAATATTAGCTCATCATGTATTTAGTTCTTATTAACTTGGAAATGTTAGTTCATTTTTTCTAATTTCTAGCTGATGATGTTGCGATCTTATTAATTTTATGTGGATTTCATTCATAAAAAAAACTTTTTTAATTTGATAAAAGAGATAATTGTGTTTTTAGTTTCAATGTTGGATCGTGAAATGTTTTGGACTCACACTACCTAGGAAGTCACTTGTAAAGAATGAAGAAAAGTAGGAAACATATAGGAAAAGACGAATAAAATTTTGAGAATTGGGCGCATTGCCGAATGGAACGATTGATCTGCAATGTTGGTTGGTCAAAGTGATTGACCGGACTGGTCTGCTGATTTAACTAGCATAACCAATTAGCCGCATTGACGAGCTGAGTTCATTTGTCGAATCAGTTGGTTGAATTGGCTTGATGAATTAATCGACCAAATTGATTGGCTTAGTTATCTGACAGAATTGATGTACTGAATCAACATGTTGAAGATAACTAATTTTGTAGAAGTTGTCTTGCCTCCTATCCCTTAGTGAGTAACCTTGGAATATTCTAAATAGGTTTGGATTTGAGCCATATTTTAGGTGTGATCTTCTATCTTGGGCTCAATCCAGAAAATTCTTACTGTACATATTTAGTTTCCTAATTCTTTTGTCTTTTTGATAGTGAATTGTGAAAAAAAAAAAGAGTAATACCTTTACTAAATTACCATTAAATGCATTTAAATATGACCATTTCATTTATGACATTGAGATATGTTGACTTTGTCGCTTTCTGGGTCCTCTGTTTATCCTCTATAAATAGAGGATAAATGGCTCTTATTTTTCTTTTGTGTTGAATAATTGCTCTCCCTTTTCTCTTCTCTTTTCGTTGTTTTTACTTGTGAAGAATGGAGGATGCTTCAGTTGAGAAGATAATCATTCTGAGGATGAATCTGATGGCTGTTCTATTTGGCAAACATATAAAAGACGAGAGGTCCGAGAAAAAGAAGAGAAGTTCAGATTGAGAAAGACGAAGCGGAAGCCCTCAAGGAGAAAGATTTCTTTTACTCATTTTATTACAGGGCCTTCAGTCGCTATAGAGCCTATGCCTCCCATAGAGTTGCCTTCAGATGTAGAGATCCTGGCTGGTCTGTCTGCCATAGGCTTTATGAAAAAGAAGAAATAAATAACAAAGATGCCACATAATTAAGGAAGATATGTCATCAAACCAACCCATCCATCTCAAGAAAGAGGTAGCCTCTCCCATGGCCTCTCTTCTCTTTACTGCCTTGTTTGATAAGGTTAATCAGTTTGATTAATCATCAAATTAGGTGTCTGGTAACTTAATTACTTAGTAAGAACTAATAAATTACCTATTAGCTTCATCTCCTACATATATTTAAAAAAATTGATTTGTGAGCGCCAAATGGATGAATAATTATGTGCTACTAATCAATCACATATTAGATTTACATTATTTTTCAAGTGCTTGTCCGTGTTTCTCCTCACTTTAATCCTCTGCTTTTGGTCTAAGGAAAAATTGGAGATGTTAAGTACAAAGAAGCGGGAATCCAGTCTAATTAAGGGTTCTCTTCTATTTGATCACGGGAAGAGTGACTCCAATAAAGCCATGGATCCAAATCTCTTCCTAATAAGTTTCACTTACCATTAACTATAAAATCCACTATATGAAGATCAAACAGATTCACCCTTTCTTTTTGAGTATATGTGAGATTGGCACATTATCTCTTAGCATCTGACCACCTATATTGTTTGAAGCATATGCCTGTTTTTAGATGGTTGTTGTTAATTTAAAGTAAAATAAATAAAAGTATTTTTTTTTTTTAATTTTGTTTGTTTAAGAGTTTAGATTGTAGAAAATTCTTTTTAGACATTTTCTTCACAAAACCATTGTAATGTAAATGCAATCTTTTTGGCTAAAATGATTGTACAATGATCCGTTTCATTTTGTTGGGTGAATTGAATGCTAGGATATAATTTTAGCTTAGGCTATGCCTAACAAACCCTCTCCCACACATTTTCACACCCTTGAAGATGGAAGAGACAGCTATATGGACCAATTTTCATAGTGTTGAATTGATTTTAATCGAGCTTCCAATCATGGTATTTGATATCTACAACACTATTTACTAAGAAAATCCATCCTTCTGTTTTGTGACTTATTTTCATGCATTACAAGAACATATCTATGCCCTTTTTGCATTATCCTTTTTTTTTTTTTTGCACAAGTTACCAACGTAATTTTAATAGCTTCTTTTTTTAGAAGTTTATTGCACCAAGTACTTTTTTCATGGCAACATTAATCTTTTCAATTGTGATTGAAAGAATTAACAAAGGTTGGGCATTGAATTTTCTCATATGAGAGGGAATTTTCTCATATGAAGCATTTTGTAGCACCACTGCGTAGGGGTGGGCTAGGACCTTGGAATCTAAATCGTCGGCTTTAAAAGTAAGCTACAATCTCTTTACAATCTAATGCACCGATACAATTGACAAAGAGCAACCACTCACTAATTATTACCCCATCTTTATGCCCACATCCAACTTTTGCCATTTCACAAAAGAATTGTTGGATCTCATGTCTAATAGCATGAAACTTTGACCAAATGACAAGACGATGGACTATATCGTGAAAGCATTCGTTTACAATTATTAGAGTATTTGTCATGATCCGACTTAATAGCTTAGAATACCACCAAATCAAGAATTGTGGTTGGATGGTATTAACATTTAATTTAATTTTCATAGATTTTCAAAAATTTTAATATATATAAATGGGTCACTAAGAAATCATAAAATATACTTCATAGAAATCAAAACATTCAGAAATAATAAGATAGTTTGTATGCAACTTCTCAAATATAACAGGATACCACTGCCCAAAAGAAAAACAGTATAAAGAAACTACAATCATAATACTCATTAACAAAAATCATACTCCTATAAACTAAATCTCTCTCGTCAAACATATCAAACTACTTTTTTTTTTTTTTGAAAAAAACAGTACAACTTAGTGTGCAAATACAATCTTATTATGCATTACATTCATATGCAAATGCTATGCATGAATGACTAAAAGAAATATAGTTCATAACTTAATCAAAATATAAGCTTTCATTTTAAATTTAATCTTTTCCATTTCAATTTAAGCATTTTTTCATTTTTAACTTTTTTAAGAAATTATATTAGGATTATCATCATGCCCGAATGTTATCCTCAAAATTGTACCCGTGGGTACCCTTAAGATTTTGCACTCGAAGTTACATGCATCGCATTCTCTTTCAATACCATCTGGGGGTAAATCTTGATTGAATTAAGCCTTTATCATTTCATTTCAATTTAAAATTTTTTAAATGTACTTTCATATGTCAATTATTTTCCTCCCATTTGCTTTACATCTTTCAAACATTCAAAATGCAAAATATAAATGAAATATTTATTTTTAAAATCATATTTCAATTTCACTTTGATCAATTTGAAATGCAACTTCTAAATAAATCAGCAATCTAATGCAAATAAGAAAATAATTAGTCACTTGAAGCCTGATTATCTTTCTCTTTTCCTTGAATTCCTCATTTCAATTCTGTAATTAACACTCGTTGAACCTTTAATCACTGATTTACATTTATTATGTTAATATCTACCTAATAACATCTTAATTAATTAAACAAAACACCTCATATAAGTAAAAAATCCAAATTCTTATCTTATTAAAAGTTGTTTGGATCAATATCCCTCCTCCCATAGCTCATACACTTCACTAACTTCTCCTTCCAAGCTGAAATTTCTATATTTTGAGTTTTGATTTAATTTGACTTTCTATTAATCTTAAATAAATAAACACACATACACACATATATATTATTTAAAATTCATTATTTAAAATATATTAAACTCTAACTTACCTAAAATTTCTTAGGTCGGTGTCCTTCCCACGAAGTCCTCTTCTCGCACAAGAGCCACAATTTCCCTTCTCTTCTTTTTTGCACAAGTGGCGTCCTCCTTCTTTCAGCAACACCTGCACCAGAGGCGTTCTATTAGGATTTGTCGAGGCCGGCTCTCCACTTCACGCACGGAGTCGCCCTCGCCTTCTCTTCTTTCTCTTGACAGAGTCGCACACCTTCCTTTTAGTTCCTTTTCCTTCGACCATGGCTTGGCTTCAACTTGCACAGTGAGCCACTCTCTTCCTTCATGCACGACAAAACAACACAACACCAGCTTTGACAATCCCGAGCAAACTCACGGCAAGCAACGACGTCGACTTCTTCCTTTGGCTGGGACACGACATCGCCTCCCATGCACGCAGACACTTTCCCTATCTTATTCTTTTTTCTCACTCTCTATCTCTTCTTCTCCTGCTCGCACTCGACACATAAAGACCTCACCTTATTCTCTCGCTCGCTGCCTCTCAATCTCTCACGGCCCTTCTCATTCTCTAAAGACTACAAATGGAAAGATTGAGAGAAGCCCCCCTTCGACGGTTATTACTTTGAATCAATATATATATATATATATATATATATATATGCTCCCATGGGTGCCAAAAATTGGTATGCAGCTGCGTTATCAGTCGTAAGACGCCTCTGACTCGTGTTCGATCCCTACGGGGACGGATAGCACATATGGGGAGCAATATTCTCAAATATCACCCTCATATATATATATATATATCATGCGTGATGGAAAATTTGTGGCAGTAGAGTAATGGATTATCGTCTTAGCGTTGCATGAGAATTCAACACACACAGATAAAAGAAGAGAAGTAAATAAAAAGAGACACCTTGACTTTTACGTGAAAAACCCTTGAAAGGGAGAAAAACCACGAGACCTAGCCCAGTTGAAATAATTCACTATAAACGATGAGCACATAGGTTCATTCTTCACCTAAATTAGGGAATATGAAATTACAAAGTTGTATAAATATAATCTGACTGCAGTTATTAGTGACATATTACAATGGTCATTATTGATTATTGTGGAGGTAATAATACGTCTTGAGTGTTGTAGATGGTTACTCCAGAAACATTGATTAGCTAGAGAAATCGTAGTAATCAATTGGGGAGTTGTGGACCACATAGGCTGTAGTAACGAATATGAATGATGTACACATGTTGCGAGGGCCGTAGTCGGGAGCGGCAGGAGTTGTGAACCGCGTAGGCCGTAGGGGCGATTATGGATGACATCTGTAGGCTGCAAGGGTCGAACTCGGAAGTTGCATGAGCTAATGACCACGTAGATCATTCGAGCGAGTATGAATGATGTCCGTAGAACGGGTGCTGGAGTCAGAAGCTGCATGAACTGATGACCACGTAGGTCGTTGTTGGCACATGGACCGTAGTGATGAGCTATTGTCCCACAGACGAGAAACGACTGCTAGATTTTTCAAATTATAACATTGACTAACAGTGTTTGGTTGGTGGTGGTCGATGACGGTCGACAGTAGTCGACGGAGATCGGCGGTGGTCGACGACGACATGTGATAGTCGACGGCTATCGACGATAATTGACGGTGGTTGGCTGTGGTCGACGACGGTCGACGGTGATCTACGTCGTTCGGCGGTAATGCTGAGTTGTAGCTCCTCCTCAAGGTTTTAGGCTCTATCTCTAGGCTTCAACTCCCTTAATGTGAGGGATGAGAGTCTATTTATAGTGTTCTGAGTGCAATTAATGCAGAAATATGAATCATTTTGATCGAACGGTCTGAATAGCTTCCTTCATTCAGACGGTGTTTAATGGACATCTGGATGCCTTAATGATGTCAAAATTGAGTTATCTTGGGCTCGTTGGATTCGTCTTGTCGAGACGCACGCTCGATTCTACTGTTAACTTGTCTGATTCGACAACCGTTTGACCTTCCAAATGTGTCTGTAAATCTTCCAATAATGGTTTAATGACTTGATTTCGGCTTGCTTTGACTCAAATTAGAATAACTTAGATATCATTAGGTTTATCTCATCGAGCTGGTCAGTTTGACTATATGTTTGTTGAAATCAGAGCTCTGGATGAGTTTTTATCAAGGTTTGAAATCCACTGCTCAAAATATTATCTCGAGATCCATGCCTCGAGATTCGTGTCGGATAATGAAAATTTGTTGGTGACATATCAATATATATCATTTATTTACTATTTTCTTAATAGATATTACAACATTGGTGGATGGTGGATCCATCAAATGTATTGAATTTGTAATATGCAGAATATGATTCTGCAATTATGCGGATAATCTTGTGGGAAAGTGTGGTAGGTCAAGTGATCTGTGTTGCGAAAGAGGGATGCTATTAAAGAGAGAAATCATAGGTAGGAAGAAATTATAGTATTGGTAAATTTAAAGATGTGGATGTTAAGGATAATCATGTGATATCCTAAATGGACATTAATTGTTAACTTGAAAGAATTATCATTGATAATGAGGATGGTGCAAACTAATCTTTTTTCCTTATTCTTTTTTCCTCCACCTCAAAAAATAAAATATATGATAATGAAGAAAATAATATCGCACCTACTTGAGCACTAGAAGATATTTCTTGACTTTCAAAGCCTACATAATCACTCGTTTTTATTTATGATCTTCTAAAGCCTTCTCATTATATTTTGAACTCTTATTACCATGTTATTGATTTAGCTATGGAAATGATTTATGTTTAACATTGTTATTATTATTATTTTTTCATTATTATTATGCTTATTTAATTTTACTTGAGCTAGTCCTGAGAATTTCAAAGTGTTGGCTAGTGATGATTGATAGTTAACTAATGATTCAACTTTTAATTTAATTCTTAGCAATTTTCAAAGGCCATAGTAGGCATACTATATTTCCTTGCTATTTTATATTCAGGAATAGTAATTTAATTGCTATGTTTCTTATTTTGAAGTTTGTATAGGTCTTTCTATTGAATGTAGATAGATATTTATTTGTTCATGGAAATTTGCAACTGAAGAAGCCTAGAAGCCAACGATGCCACTTAAATAAGCCCCATAATAGTGTGCTGCAAATGCCTAGGGTTATTGCTTCAGGCATATTTTGTGGGCTTAAAGAAGGGAAATTGGTTTATTTTTTTTTAAGCATTCATTTATCTTAAGTTAACATTTAGTTGATTGATAATTTGATTTAATCTAAGTTATATCATGGGGATTTTGTCCCAATTAACAGTTGGAAAAGGTAAGCCTGTTCTGATTGGGAATGATATTGGCATTTCTAGTGGTCTGTCCATACCTAATTTTTAGCTGATAAATTAATGCTCTAAATCCTGATTTGATTGAGTACTAGTGAGCGCTTAATGCCATGTTTTTTTACAGAGAAAAAATAATATTAATTGTGAGTTACAAAATATTTGTAATTTTCATTAGCTTTTCTTTTCAAAAAGGGAAAAATGGTGTCAAAGAAAGAAATTTTCTTGAATATTGACTGAATTTGCTATGCCATATTTCTGAGATTGGAGATTCACCTAATCATCTGCTATATCCTACAATATCCATTATTTTGATGTGCTATTTATCCGGCTTTCTGTATTACATGGCAAAGTAAATTTATTATGTTGATATTGCTAGATGCCTTCCTAATTATTTAAAATAAAATATAATCTATAAGAGATATTTATTTTCCCCATCTTTTAAACCTGTACTCAAGTTAGCTTCTATGGTATATATTTCTATTTTATTTTTCCCATATTTTCTCCGTATTTCTGAGATGTACACATTTATTTATATGCAGGAGATACTATTGAAAAAATTTCTTTCGAGAAGGCTGGGATTTTCAAGGTATATCGTAACATATCGCATGCTTCAAATAATGATACCTGTCATTGTTTTATCTTACTTAGCCATCAGTTTTCTAAAGAATTTTCCTTAATGGATTCATGCATTTGCCGCATGTTAAAGCCCCATGTACCTGCATTCACAGTGCCCCAATGTTCTGAAGCAATGTCAGTTCTCTGTGACAGAGCCTCTAAATTAATGGTAACTTCATCGGTCTCTATGGTGGTGGTTTTTATTAATTGGTTTTTTATTTACCGCCATCTGGAATATCAAAATTCTTTCATGAAATAACGTCTTTGGTTGTTTTTTTTCCAAAAAAAAAAATCCTCAGAAGTTTTTTTTTTCCTCTTTTCCATGGTAAATAAAATTGTTATTTCTACTCGAATTTTTTTCGTGGCTTTCTTATAATCTCTAAAGCTATGTTTGGATGCTAGAAATTTAACTAAAATTAAATGAAAAAAAAAGGATTAAAAATTTTAAATTCAAAAACAGCTCCTTGATTATCAGATTTTGATTATACTTCCTTCACTTTCCTTCAATCCAATTAAAGCTTAAAAGTTATCCGTTCATGCACTAATGCTTGTTATGAATTGCAGATTCCATTAGAAGTGGCACCACCACTTGGCTCAAAAGCATTAAAAGGGCTCCATCTTGGATTGGCTGGGGATCACCAGTTCATCAATGCGGGTCTTGCAGTGGCTCTTTGTAGGTGTTGGCTAAGAAGAACTGGTCGTCTTGATTCCTTTCCAAATGTGAGTACACCTTAAAAGCTTTGCTTCATACTTCTTGAATCTGTTATTGACTTGTTATTTAAGAAGAGAGTTCATTCATGGCCTTATCTATCTAATTGGTGGTTTTTTGGTTGCATAATAAAGTTAAAGCTACAAAATTACATTTTTCTAAGTTTAGGGATATGTTTTTTTTCATTTTTAGTATGCTATTTTGTTGGTGGAATTTGTTCATGGTGGTAAAACAGTGCGAAAGTGTGCATAATTTAACTTAGGCTGCTTGGGAAATGTATAATGGAGGACTAGATGCTTACCAATAAAGAGAGTCAAAATTTTTAATTTGGAAGAATTCGGAGGAAAAATGGATAGAATTTCGATGATAAAGTTAGAAGTTGTAGAAACTTGGCTTGCAAACTATATACATGAATGAATGAAGGATGTTTCATAACATTGGCCCCATATGATTGGGTTAAAACTAAAGGCAATAATGGTGATAATGATGTTGTTATTGAGATTTGAATGATTAAGTTATTGGCTACTATTTTATCTCACTAACATGCTTACAGATTTCTCTACCTTATATGCTAAAAAATAGGATGTTTGTGGCTTTATGCTTTGTGCGCGATTGCACGCAGCATAGTTTTTAGCTCTCAAACTAGCTGCTGTATATAATTCCTAACCCAGTCCTAGAGGGGATTTGATTTCGATTTTGTTATGGATAGCGATGGATTAAATTTCGATTTTGATAAAAGCAATAACAATTGGATGAAAGCTATAAATACATATTATATTTTAAGTTTTTATGATTTCACTATTTTTTATTCATGATTCATTGAAAATTTTAATATTATTATAATCCTAATTTAAAAGTTTATGAAAAAGAGTAAAATTTGAATAAACTAAATCTGTTAATCATGATTTACTAGAAATTAAAGAGACTTTATTTTAATTAGCTTAATGTTTAGTGATGCATTTGATGTTGGCATTAGGGGATTGTTAAATTAGTAAAGACATTTTATTACATTCTTTATTGAAAAGTTAAATGAAATTAAAAAAAAAAGATTCATACTATGATAAGAAATTCTATGTTATTATGTGAGCTATTTTATTTTGGTTTCACTATCTATTACCTCAAGATTGTGTTGCAATTTAGCCATCAAATTTAGTAATACTTGAGCTTTTAAGAGAAGCTAGGGCATATGCATACAAATTGGGTTAAGTTTTTACAATAATATGTAGCATCCCGTACACTTTTCCTGATTTAAAAATAAAGTTATTGATACTTCAAGCAGAGGTTATGTTCTTTTATATATAATATAGGTTAAAGTTAAAATTTCTTGTTCATATAAAATAAGAATATATAAGTTGTACGGATTTCATTGAGATCTATTAAAACTTAAATAATGATTTAGCTTTGCTTAATAAAGATTGCATGATTAAAGATGATTATCTATTTTAAGGGTATTGACCTTTGTATTCTTTATTCAACATTAAAGATTTTTTGGTATTTGAATTTCATGTTTGGCTTTGTGGTGTGATTGGGGACATATTGGGAGAGAGAAACCATCTCAATGCTTTGTTAGTCTATTAAAGGTAAGAAACAGACCTCAAGATTGTATATGCCTATACCAATTTTATGTATACCTAAGGAGGATTTTATTATGAATATTATGTTTGGTTTATCATGAACACTGAGAAAACTAGATTCTATTTTTTATAATAATAGATTACTTTTTTAGAACAACATATTTCATATCACTTAATAAATCATGAATGCGTCATCTCATATTGTTAAATTATATTTTCATGAAGTAGTTAAATTATATGGCTAACACAAAATAGTTGTTCAAAATGGAATACAATTTAAATTTTCCATAGAACCACTGATAGCCAAGTTAATGTGGTTAATAGTAGCTTTGGAGATATGTTATATTGCTTGATAAAAGACCACGCATTTGGGTGGGATTTGATGTTTCCTATGGCATAGTTTGCATGAATTCATCCTTTAATAGGTTTATTTGCATAAGTCTGTTTAAGATACCACAAGATAGTAATCCTAATACCATAGGTCTTACTAGCCTTTTTATAGAAGTTAGGTCTAGTGTATGCACGACTTATATGCATATATTCACAAAAAGTTGATTGCTAGCTATGATAATTACAAGCTTTATGTTGATGTGAACAAGAGAAATATGAAATTTTATATTCACAAAATGTTGATTGCTAGTTTTGATAATTACAAGCTTTATGCTAATGCGAACAAGAGAAATATGGAATTTTAACATGGTGATAAATTCCTTTTCTGCCTAATTCTAGAAAGGTTTTCCTTATAAACATTTAAGGAAATGAATGTAAAAAAGATATAATCATTTAAAATTTGTTAGTACATTTAATTAATTCCTATAAATTACAAATCTTTAAAAATTAATGTATAAATCTTATTCAAAAAGGCCTCCATTTGGAACCTTTAAGTTGAATGCAAGGAATGCATAAGCATTTTTTGTGGGACATTGGAATCAATGCCTATATATTGGAATTCTAAAAAAATTTAGCATAAATCAATTTTTTGATATCTTTGATTTGAACTTATTTCATGGATCTAATTTCAATTCATAGTTTTATGCTATCTTTCCACATTTCCTCACGAAGCTGCATCCAATCCTCTACTAGGCACTCCGATACATTTTATTTTCAAGACTATTTTAGATGATGAAATTATATCCACTATTGATGATTTATAAAATATCTTGATTTTCTGAAAAGACTAACTTATTTACCATGATTTATAGATTATTTTATAAGGAAGCACCTTATTTAGGAGTTGATTTTTTTGATTCTTTACATTTTGTTCATTGGGATTTTGTTCCAAAGGCTATTTGGTATGGTGAAATTGTTTCCATTGTTATTTGTGGATTTCTAAGATACTTTTTTTATGGAAAAACAAATTACTTATGATGATTTATGATTTCTTTGCAAGAACGGCAAAATATAGGCTTTGATTTACAGAGGGCTTGCTTGAGATCATTTTTTTTTTCTATATTTATTTTAAAAACATGTTTGTTCTGTGCTTTTTTTGTATTTTTTTACTTTTAAAAATAAATTAGCTTGTTTTTGAAAACGCTTAAAACATCTAAAAATTGTTTTGAGTGTTTTTAAAAACAACTAAACATTTTATATATTGAAAAGAAATGTTGCTCACAATTTTGAAGTTCTATTGTTGATTTCTTTTTGACCTTGAGTGACTTTCGTTCCACACCTTGTTTGATATACAAAGTCCCAACTTAAGTTTCCATTTTCTTTGCTCTGAGAAAGGCAATACACGTAGTTGTAACTTTCGATAGACTTCTTAAAAACTATAATGTACCGACTTCTGCTTAGGAAGGTATATTGTGTTCGATATGTGTTAGGCAAATGTCCGAATAAAATACTATTAGAATTGAATTAAAACTGATGAGCACATCCTAAAGAACTTAATTAACATTTATTAGAAATTATTTTGTTAAAAAAATTTTCAATCACATTTTTTACTTGTTTTAATCTTAAATTTCCTCTTCACTTTTCAATTATACTTGTTCCCTAACCCTTTTCAGTCACTCCACATGTTTTTATAGTCTCTGAATTTTATTCTTTGGTGGCCTTTGGAGGACGGGTGAATGCATTTTTATCTCGACTTTTGTAGTTTTTGTGGCGGTTTCCTTCTATGCATATAAACTACAACACTATTTTGTGCATATAGGTTTGTATTATAAGCTACTTATCATATGGGCTTTTGTATTTAAGCTTTGAAAGCGCAATGAATTATTATCTTTTGGTATTTAGTTTAAACTTAAATTACGTTGGTACTATGCAAATAGTATCTACTAGCCTAGCTGATTATAAAACATGATGAATTTTTTTTCTCAATTATTATCTTTAGGTGTATGATGTGCCCACGTAATTTTGGTGGAAGTCATCTTTTAACGACATGAGACCTATTTTACTTGGTAGTTACTGTTCATTTATTCTATTTTACTAAAATAATTTGATATTGACTTATTTAATGCTCTTGATTTTGATAAACCATTGGCATTGAAATTCTAATTTGTGTAAAGAAGCTCAATTGCTTCTTGATTTTGTCATTTGTTCGAATGGCTCCATAATTTTTTGGTCCTGTTCGATAAGTATTGTTTTTTGGGTTCAAATTCTTGTTTTAATATTTTTCTTTTAAAAAGGCAAGTTATTGAATCATTTAGTAATTTTTGATTTGTGAATGCCCAATTTCTTGTGAAGAAATCACAGTACACAGCATATTCAGTGTTATTTTGTAAACCCTAACACTAAATCATCTTACATCCGGATCCCTCATCAAAATCCATGCTCATCTGAATCTTAAGATAGATTTCTATTCAGATTATATATTAATTTGGATTTATTTTATGCTTCTTAATCCTGATCGGATTTTGTTACTAGGTCTGTTATTCTTTTTGATTTCCTAAACGGCAAAGTTTCATCTTTAGGAAAACTGGGATTCAACTTTGCCAGAACCATTTCTAAGAGGCCTTTCCACCGCCCATCTTTCTGGACGAGCTCAAATTTTCCATGACGAACTTGATTATTGTTCGGAGAGGCCTGAAAATAAAAATCATTCTGGCGATCTGATCTTTTACTTAGATGGTGCTCATAGTCCAGAAAGCATGGAAGTTTGTGCAAGATGGTTTTCCAATGTTACAAGAGATGTCCATTCTTCTCATGAGAATGGCTATATTGAGAAAGCTGATTTCCATAAGAACTTGAAAAATGAGAATTGTCACAATGTAGCGGACAAAGTCTCAAGGAAGGTAATATGCACATCTTTTAGAGCAAAAACCCAAAATAGTCCCCTAACTATCAATAAGTGACTAATTTGAAGGTGCTCCAGTTTACTTCTAGACTTTTTCAAATTGATATAAATTAATCTCTAGGTTGAATTTCATGGTTAAAATTAACACCAACCATTAACTTTGAGGGTATTTTAGGAATAAAAATTTTAAATAAAATTTTATTCTCATTATTACTCTATTTTCGTATGTAATCAATTATTTTTCTATTATGTAATAAAGTATTTTATTATTTCTCATTTTTTTATATAAAGAGGGATGGCTATATTTCATTATTTAATGAAATGAAAATTTGATCTCATCCATAAATTTAAATAATTTTTATTTAAAATTCTTATTCCAAAAATATCTTTAAAGTTAACGGTTGGTGTTAATTTAACTATAAATTTTAGCCTAAGGATTAATTTGGATGAATTTTTAATAGTCTGGGGCTAAAGTGGAGCACTTTAAAACTCCGGAACTAAATTATTCACTTATTGTTAGTCAGGGGACTGCTTTGGGCTTTTGCTCACAACTTTCATATAATGCATTGCAGCAAACTTTTAATGGAACCCTACAATATGGGGGATCTTTCAACTTTTCCAGTTTGGCTAGCTCAGACCGAGTGTTCCTGGTACCATTTAATTATTTTTACAGATTCTTTTGTTCAACTGCATGGAAGTAAGAGATCCCCACCTGCTATTTCCTCAGTTGATCAATACTTGTGCTTCAAATGGTATGCACATTGAAAGTTTTCTCTCTCTTAAAGATTTCTATTATAATGACAAACTGTTGTTCCTTTTTTAACAAAAATTTTAGGAATGTTGATCAATGTTTCTTATTGAGAATTTTTAAGAAGGAAATGTGGTGATCCAACCAGACGTATATTTTTGTTCACTTGATAATTGCGATTTTTTTTTGTTTTAAATTTATAACAAATATTTTCTTCCATAGTAAAAAAATAAGTTTTGCCAATGAAGACTTTAAAAACAATTGATTTTGTTAGAGTTGTCAATAAATTTTATGTTTATATATCCATACCTTCTGGATTTTCACTTGTTTAAAAGTTCCATTTGGATGAGTTAATTTCTGTTAAATCTGAAGAAAAGTGCCACTAAGATGGGGACTTTCTTTTTAGTGTTTTTTTTTCCCTTGTGGATTACTTATTTTTCTTTTAGCATCACTGCAAAGCATATTAAATGTCCAAAAAATATCCTTAACTAATAATGTTTTTAGGAGGCCTAAACTGCTCATATTGACCTTTATTTTATTTTATTTTTTGTCGTTCAAAATGTTAGAAGCCGCTTTGACAGTTGTGTTGACCTCATTTTTAGTGAGGTCTAGTCTTCCTCTTAGGGTTTAGGATCTAGCCTTAGGGACCTCCTTTGACTATCTTAGAACCTTAGAAGTGGTGCCCGCCTCGTTTTAATTCGACCTATTTCCGTCCTCTTTTGTGGTTCCAAGTGTGTGGTATCGACTTCTAGCATTTAAAAGGGTGAAACCAACATGAGGAAACCCAAAAGGGATCCCTATAGGATCTTTTGAGCCTTAGGGTGGCCTTCTGCACAATTCGCACGCCCGCGCGCGTCCGATCGCCGCAATTCGCATTGCCTGCATTGCTACTTGTCGAATGCTCGATTAAACCACTTGGGACGATCGATCGCGGGTCGAAATTATGTGAAATTTGAATTTCGACGCGTTTTGACCCGATTGTCGACGACGTCGTCCGAGCGACCCCGGATGACGAAACGGACTACGCCGACGCGTCCAGAACGTCG